GGCAGAGCAAATCCTCAGCTTAGGAGTCCTCATAGATATTGTGGATGAGGAATGGATGCGAGACACTTTGCCTGAAGATGGTATTATCCTCTTTCACTTGTTATTATATTAACAATCAATCAACTGCATCAGTCTTATCAAATGCTCACCCTTAGTGTGCTTAAGCTCTGAAAGTTGGAGCAAGATAGGTGGTGAGTGCTTTGCCTCAATTAGGCAACACTTCAGTTTGACAGCAAGATGCCAAGTCGTGCATCACACATGGAATTCTGTGTTGAAGAGAGCAGTCTAAATGATAAACATTTCACTTAATTATATATTTTTTTTCAATTCCGTTGTCCGTATAATATTTTATTGTATTTCTAGTTATTATTCTTGAATTGCATTTCTAGTTTTTATTTTCTTCTTAATTTGCACTTTCCTTTATCAAATCCTGCAGAGTTATTGAGCTCCCTTTTTTTTTTTTGGCTTTTCGCCTTTTAATATGAATCATCTATTTCACTCTAGTAAATAATTATCATTTGTGGCAAATTAGGGATTCTCAAAAGCTAGAGGTTTCTCAATCACACACGTATTGCATCTCAGACATATACTTATTGTTGTATATTTTTATAATTTTTTTGTCTCATACTTTAATTTTGCATTTGTATATTTTACCCCAACTACTTTAGAATTGAAGCATAGTAGAATTTGCATTTGTTGATTTTAATTGGTCTATTACTGCAGATCTCCCGTTACCACCCGTACTACTTCCAAAGACCGATGACAATGAAGACTCAAGTAAGTATTCTTGTATCCATACACTTGGAAAAATATTGAATGTGGGAGTGAGTTATAACTTAATCATTTGTTTGGGTACGAAATGTGAGATCAAAAGATGACACCTTAAAGTGTAAGTTGTTTATCGCCAAAGAAACTGTTAGAACAGAATATCTGTAAACTAGCTATTATATGGCTTCTGTCATAGAGGTTCCAGTGCCCTAGATAGGGAATACTTTTAACATAGAAGTTCCTTGGTTAAATCTATAAGCACATCATATGTGGTTATGTCGGTTGTAAACAGAAAGCTGAAATTTAAAATCATCTTTGAGATTTCTTTAGTAGGCTTTGCAGGCCTGAATGTCAAACATTTCTTAAGTTTAATCTAGCCTCTGTTCGATCCACAGTTGGTGTGTGCTGAAAAGGTTTCTGTTTTCTGTGATGTTGAACCCCTTATACCGTACATCAGTTCAAATAGTATCATGTGGATTTGCTTATAAGCATTTGATGAGATGTAATGAGAGGAACTTGAAGGCTATAGTTAGGTTATTTCTGAAATGGGCTTCGGCACTAATGGGATCAGAAATATCTAGGGATAATTTCACATAAATACAACTCACACACCTGACTTGCAACATAACAGCCTAGATACCACTTTGCAAATCTATAGCCCAAAAAATAATAGGCTAATTCCCGAAAGAAAGCTTATTTTGCTCCCTCTGTATACAACCAGTTGTTTTCATTCTGTTGATTTCCTTTGATTATTAAGCATTTGATAAAAAAATGCAAATCAGCCACAACACAACTCAAAAATCCTGAATAATACATATTATCTGAAGGTAAGAAATTCAAACACTTTTATGTGCAATTGCTGAAGCAATCCAACATGATAAAATAAAAATAAAAACTTGGTAAATGAATTGTAGAATCCCTCCAACGCTCATACAACACATTACACGAAAAAGAAGATGAGAAAGAAGTGTAAGACTCAGAAACATCAAGCAAACTATCCTACAAAGGCTGATTTCGGACCATTCACCTGTGGCTCTAGACTGCGGTGTGTGGGAACAAGCTAAATCATACTTCAAGTTTGAAAATTGGTGGCTGAATGTGGAAGGTTTTGAGGACAGAATTAGAGAGTGGTGGGGATCTTTTGAATTCTCAGGAAGACCTGATTACATTTTAGCTTGCAAGTTAAAAGCTCTCAAGGGCAAGCTAAAAGGATGGAGCAGAAGTTACGAAGGCAATCTGGGACTGCAGAAATCAAAATTGCTAAGTCAACTAGCAGATTTTGAGACAACGCAACAACTAAGAGCGTTGACAGAGGAGGAATCAGTCAGGAAAGCAGCTACTCTAATGGAGATTGAGGTGCAACTCAAGAATGAAGAATTTGCATGGAGACAAAAATCAAGAGCTTTGTGGCTCAAAGAAGGGGATAGGAATACAAAATTTTTCCATCGGACTGCAAATGCACGCAAGAGAAACAACAACATTGACCAAATAATGATTCGACATGAAGTAATCGAGGATCCAGAAAGAATAGAGAACGAGATTATTGAATTCTACAAGGAGCTATACACAGAACCTGAACAGTGGAGACCAACAGTTAATTTCGAAAATACTACAAGCATTNTAAAGGTTATTTTCACTCACACAGAGGTCTCAGACAAGGTGATCCTCTATCTCCCTTTTTATTCATCATAGCCATGGAAGGATTGAACAACATGATCAAAACGGCTAAAGTCAGTGGTTGGGTTAAAGGTTTTGAGGTAAACAGGAGTGGGGCTAACAATCTAGAGATCACACATCTCCAATATGCTGATGATACTCTAGTCTTCTGTGATGCTGAAAAAGACCAACTTAGATTCTTAAGGATCATTTTGGTTTTATTTGAAGGTGTATCAGGATTACACATTAACTGGAGAAAGAGCAACATTTTTCCCATTAATGAAGTTAACAACATGGGGCAACTGACTCAGATATTGGGAGGAGAAGTTGGGTCCCTACCAACTGTTTACCTTGGGATGCCTCTTGGTGCAAGATCCAAATCAAAAGAAATCTGGAATTCAGTCATAGAAAAGTGTGAGAAGAAGTTGTCAAGATGGAAATCGCAGTATCTATCATTGGGGGTAGGCTAGTTCTAATCAACTCAGTGTTAGACTCTCTACCTACTTACATGATGTCTTTGTTCCCAATTCCATCAGGCATTTTACAGAGATTGGACAAACTACGAAGAACATTCTTCTGGCAAGGCAATAAGGAGAAAAAGGTCTTCCATTTGGTCAATTGGAAGACAACAACAATGG